TTTTTTCGCAATATAAATTTAATTTCAATTAGGGGGGTATTTGGGATTTCTCTTATAAGAGATGCAAGTATAGCATCCAATATGAATTTTAGAATTGTTAATTCAATTCGAATTTCACGTGTAAAAATTTACATGTGAACACGTATATATGGACATATATACACGTATAATTACTTTTTTATGACAAACAGTTGTACAAGAATTTTTTGATTTGTGTCATTACTACATTTGTATATTTTTTAGAACTTGCAGAACGTTCAACAACCGATAAACATGCCAAATATGGCAGGCAATAGTAACATGCGTAGTAACATGCAAGTAAGTTATAAATTTCTCGTTCGTTTTTATTTTAACGAGCCGTTGCGTTCTTGTGAAATGTTCCTTTATTATTTTCGTGTTTACAGAATCACGCGCAAACCGGTGCGGTACACGGAAATCTAGTGCCGAATCCATTTACATATCGAAATGTTCCATCGGCTAACAATACAAATAAACCAGATGATTTAATTGAGGTAGAGTGCTGCTTTTTTTTAAATTGCGTTCGGTAATAATTGTCGAGTGTGTAATTACGTTTTATTCGATTTTACAGGTAAGACCCACTACAAGTAACGCGAATACATTAAATGCACAAACAGCGGTACAATTACAAAACAACACGAACAAAAATCAAGAAGAGTAAAGTGTCCTAAAAAAAAAAGAAAAAAATTAATTTATACTATTATTATTTATATAATAGCTTCATTTTTAAGTGATATAGATCGAGTTTTCGAGCTGAAACGTGAGTGGTATACGAATATATTGTACGTTTTATGTTTGTCTGTAAGATAGTTGTAGAAAAACAAATTATTAAAATAGTAACTACATCATAGTAACTATAATAAATTTTTTTACGCATGCAAACAAGTCGTGTGTTTTGCATCTTTCAAGATGCTCGTTCGGCATGTGACCCACGGTTTGTTCGCATAGCTGCACCGGTCCTTAAGCAAATCCAGAAGAATGGAAAAACACGGTATTTTCGTGGTTATGATTTCCCGATAACTATATAATCTCACATTGAAATCGCTAGACCAACGGGCCGGTGCCTACGTAATGAGTATTGTAAAAGAAATGCATATCTAGGAGATCCTTATATTTGCGAAGTATACTACGTACTTTTGTAAGCATATACAGTAGGTGAAAGAAGTAGTAACATCCCATCCTTTTTGAAATAATAATTGCACAAATCAGAAAGATATTATAACAAGTCACTGTTAAATCACCGTGCATTGTTTTATTTACATGAGAAGTACGAATAAAATGCACAAAGTGTAACGACGTTTGTTATAACATTTTTCTCTTTTTCACACAAATTATTTTTAAAAGCGATGGGACGTGCCTCATATTTGTCTGTGTATCTTTTTCCCCTACTATATATATATATATATTTGTAATATTTCACGAGTTTATTTATACCGATCGTTTTGTAAGTTATCATTGAGTATTAAATAAAACACGAGTTTTATATCGCGTTAAGGTTCAGTATCTTGGAAGAGCACTTCTCCATCCATTTTGTAACAAAATTCTGAGATATTTCTTTGCTTTTGACATATTCGGCAAATCTGCCACGTTAAAATTCTCCGCTCTGTCGGTTCTGTGATCGTACAGTTCCTCTGCTATAGTGACGTTCCAATTTGGCTTGCACGTGTTGTGCGCAAACGGCACCCACATCGTATAACGATACTTGCTGGTTTTCAGAGTGTATCCCATTACGTTTATTTCTTTTAAACGGGGCTTATCGCTGTTGGGATGAAGGGTGGGTTGGATTCCAGGTCTCGGGTACTGACTGAATGCCGCCTTCTTCCACGGTATGCTCTAAATTGTTGTAAATATGGAAGAAAAGAAAAAATTTATATATATATATATAATTATTCGATATAAAATAATTACATAAATTATCTAAAATATAAAAAGCGAAACATAGTTTACTTACCTGACATCTTACTATATTCTTTATAAGTGGTAAGAGCGTGATACCTTCGCTGCAAAGATCGGGCGTTTTCTTGTGATATGCAAAATCGTCGTCTCTTGAACGATGATATTTATTATTGACATTCGACGTTTGGCACAACGGTATAGGAACACCTGCCAGATCCGCAATTGTCGGAAACACATCGACAAGTTCCGCAATAGCATTCGTAGTTCGACAAGTACCCCATCTCAAAGACTGTGATTTATCGCATTTTTGTTGAACATATGTTTCCAAGATACTTTCTTTGTACTCGTTGATGTTTTCTAAAATAATATCGTTCTCCTCACTATCCAGCGTCATATGGTTCGCGTTACGTTTTGTAGTACGATTGATATCGAACGTGAGCGTCGGAATCGATATTATCAAAGGTACGTGCACGGCAACGTCAAAGTTACTAAATTTGGACCAAGTGGCGTGCTCTCCAAGTGCCCAACCTGTATCGAATATTATCTGTACTTATTGTTTACAAATTTTTATCAATTATATAACGTCTAATAAGCGGAGCCGTGTTGTTATAAGTCGCACTGTAAAACGCACCATGATCGGACGTTAGTATTACAACGGTGTTCTCACGTATCATCGAGAGATGTAGCTGATGCACGAGCTTGCCGATCATGTTGTCGATGTAAGACACAGCTGCGTAATACGATTGGACAATTAGCTTGCCGAACTGTTCTGAAAATGTAGTGATTAAGGAATAAAGAGATCCAGAGATCTTTGTGTGATTTAAAAAAAAAAAAACGCGAAGAGTATCTTGACGACGAGAGTACCTGGTATTCTCTCCCACGGAAATTTCAGTCTCAAGTTTGCCACATCTCTCCGCCATCGTAGATCAGTCCAGGGATTGTAAGCGACCTCGCTTACATTGTCTGGCCACCGGTACGGCTCGGGCATCTTGAACTTCCGTATTGGATGATATTCTGCGATTGATATTTATCGATATTAACGACTTGGAACATCACGAGATACATCTCTCAAATATATATTATTTCCGGAAATAGCAACAGCAAACACTGTACTCAGATAGCGTTCAGGATACTTCAGCGGCACATGAGGCTTCTGAAAGCCGACGGCCAAAAAAAAGGGATTAGAATCCTTGTTGTGCTTGCGTATGAATTCTCTGGCTTTTTGTAACGTCTCGATATCGGGCAGTGTTTCGTTTGGCATGTTCGAAATATGTACCGGACACATCTATATAAAAAATTATATCTTTAATGTAAACATATATATTTTATGTAGAAATATATACGCAATATATACGCAACGTGTGTGTGTGTGTGTATACGTAGAAATTAATTTATTTTACGCTAACAAGATTCGTCGCTGCTTCGGATTGCGGATTCGTTTTGCACACGGGAGCGTTTTTGTACCGATCCGTGTACGGATGAAAAGGCTTCTCGGTCCACGAGTAGGGACTGTCGTCGGATCCGTTCGAACTCACGCCTGCAACGAACGTGGCGTACGAGTGCGTGAATAATTGATTCTCTCAACTCGCGCGTAACATCGCACGCAATGAACTCAATCGAACGAGCGCACGCGTGTGTGTGTGTGTGTGTGTGTGTGCGTATGTGCGCGCGCTCGCTCGCGTGCTCAGCTAAATATACAGTACGCGTAAATATAAAACCGTGAAAGGTACACCACCTGGATGAAAAACTTTTCCTACGGACATCGTGCTGTATCCGTTGTTTCTCAAGTGCTCCGGTAACGTGGTGTAATTTCCGACCGTATCGCGCCAATAACTGTAGAAGTCGTAGAGCCGAAGAGTGTCCGGTCTTCTGCTCGTCAGGAAGGAATTTCTGCTTGGCGCGCACAACGCTTGCTGCAACGACAAAATTCGAGCTCGTTTTATTACGCGAATGATTTCAGAAAGCGTGTAATATAATTTCAAACAGACAGTAGTCGAGACAGTAGAGACCTGAGCGAACGCTTCGTTAAAAAGAACACCGTCCTTCGCCAGGGCGTCTATGTGAGGCGTGTACGCGTTTACATCGCCGTAACAACCCAAGGTGGTTCTCAGATCGTCGACAACGATCAGCAAGAAGTTCGGACGCGCGGTTACGCCGAATGCCATCAACGCAGTCGCGATTAAATTGAAGCAGGTCACGGTAAACATCGTGCGTCCGACTGCTTAATATATGCAGTTTAGAGGGAGAAAAAAAATGCACTCAATGTCGCATTAGAAAGTGTTGCGCAGTTTTTTTTTCAAATATCTCACATATCTCTTGTCTCGAGTCTTGATGTTTCTGCAATCGAGTTTATGAAATATGAAATATATAAATGATGGAAAAACGTGCTTGAGTTGCAATCCAATTCTACTGGGTGTATCAACGAACGATTTCTGACGAACAGTATAAGAGGTAAGAGAATAAGCGGTGTGGCTTATTTAAATTTAGCGCGCGGAAGATCAGCTGATCACGTGATCATGAATCAGCTGGCGATTGCTAGCGATTTGACAGCTCTCGACAGAATTCTTCTTTCTCTCTCGTTCCCTGTCCATCACTCAGCTGTGCATTGTAGTTTGCTGTTGTGTCATTTGCGTCAGCAATATAACTAGCTGCACACATAATTTCTGATACGTCATGGATTTGCACGGAACGTTACACAACCGATTATTGAATAACGTTCGCGCGAACATAAATAATTTGTTTAGACAAATACAACTCTATGAAAAAAAAAATACATTTCTACTAATATCTAAGCATAAATCTCTTATAAACGCTTATTTATTTAATTAATAAAATTTTTTCTAAACCATTATTTACACACAAAAAGAGAAGAGAGAGAACATATTTATATATTTTCCCAATTTTATTTTTTGATGCGTGTTACGTATTTTGAAGAGCAGGTATATAAGGGGGGAAGAATAGGACACACACACACACACACACACACAATAGATGCTCGATACAGAAGTCCTTTCGTGGTGCTGTAGACATCTCATTGAGATCCAACTTTTTGCTGTGTTCAAGCTTGCACATGCGCATGCAAAATGTGTTTTTCACGTTTTCATCGCGCGCGAGCTACCCTCTCTCGCGCATTGTAACTTTGGAATGAGACAAATGATAGTGTGTTAGTGAGAGTATATACGTGAACGGGGAAGTGACTCTAAGGAGTACATAATAACAGGTTGCGAATCTAAATTATAACATCCACGTCCTGACGGGAATTCGTGGAGAAACACGAGGAAAGAATCGCTCGTCGAGCGCGTCGACAAGCCTCAACAATCGAGAACGGCCGCCTCGATCGCGACCCCGATTTCCCGCGTCTCCGCCCTCTGCGCCCCTCTGCGCGATGCCCAGTCGTCGAATCAGCTGATTATTGTTTTCGTTGTTGCGACGCGAAGTGGCCTGTCGCGGCGCGATGCCTGGCGCACGCACCGACGCTGAACGTTAAAAACGCCAGTGGCGAATCCGCGACCGGAAATTTCGCTCGCGTCGCGACAAACTGACTGTGGTGTGTCTCGGTGCGCTGGGCAGCAAGCGCGCCTTCGACGGGCGGATCATCGTGCCGCGCGTGTGTCGTTGCGTCGTCGTTGAGTCCACACACCAAACAGAGCGGTCGCGGTGAGGAGAACGGAAGTGTGTGGAAGAGCGCTGTTGGATTTGCGAGAACGGCGCGCGGTGTCGTGCCGTTTTTCCGGAGTGTGAAAAATAAAGAAAATTAATCAGAGGACATCCGAATTGAATCGGGACGTTTTGCGCGCGTGTGTGTGACATTATTTGCCCGCTGTCGTCTGTTGCTTGTCATCGCCACCAGAATGACGCAGTAGATGGACGGCAGCGCAAGCGACGGTGCTTTTCTCACGCACGATGATAAATCACAGTGTTGTTTCGCGGTGAAGTAAGTAAAAACGGAACGAGACGAGGAGAATTTTCCCTCCGTTTCCGTTTTTCTCTCTAATCGATCACGACGACGACGACGACGACGACAATGACGATAATGACTGAGATCGCGCGACGGCTAACTCTTTGCTCCTCCCTCGTCGGGAACACGCACGGGCGCATATCGATAAATAACAACGGCGATGCGATAAGCAGCGACAACAATTTTCTTTGTTCCTTCTCGACGATTTCTACACGGTTTTTTTCCCCTCTACGTGCGAAGAGCGATACAACACGACGGCGCGACGATTCCGCGATCGACGGCGCTTTTTTTAACACGGTTGCGTAAACGCTCGCGTCGCATCGAACACGGGAGGTGCGTCGTTCGTTTTTGTCGTCGGGTGTTCTTTGATTTGGTTTTTTCCTAAGTTCCTCAAGGTCTTGTTTCGTATACAAAGAGATAAAAACACACAGACGCGACTCTCGTCATCGGCGCTCAATCCACTTTCTTGTGCTTCTCCCTTTTCTTCCTTCCTTCCTTCCTTCCTCCCATTATTTCTGTTCGTGACTTTCTTGTCGATCGTCCCTGAGCGTGCATTCCGCGCGCACAGCTGTGCCGTGCTTCGCCGTGCTGCGTTGTGCAACCAACACATCTTTCTCACCCAGTATCTCCTGTCTCTCTCTTTGCCTCTACAACGGCTGGCAAAATAGACTCCCCCTCCCTCCTCCCTCACCACCACTACCTTCTCCTCCACCACCACCTCTTTTCTCCGTTTCTGTTCCCACCGCCAACTGTCCGCCGTCAACACACAACACATCGCCGACGACTTTGACTCGATGCGCTTTCCGATTTTTCGTACGCGTTGTTGAATAATGCACCGCGTCACGACGACGACGGACGACGCTTCGTCAGATATCCGAGGCAACGTCGACGACGGGAAACGATCGCGCGACAAACATCAAATGTCGAGAGTAATGTAGCAACGTGATGAACAACATCTCCGAACGGTGCGCTTGAACGAGAGGGTTCTTTGTCCTCTGCGTGAGGATTACGCGAACGGCGAAACAATCGTGCGTGTTTGCTGTTCGTGTGAAGAGAACGATCCTCCTCCTCGCTCGTCATCTTCGCGCTGTGCTCAAGCTCGCTGCCAGTCCGAAATCCGTTTCCCCGAATCTGACCGTTCGTCGTTACCACCGCACATACGTACGTACGTACGTACAACAGAGAGTGAGGGAACGCGAGTGTCGATTCTCCTTTGTCTCTCCGTTCACATTTTTGTGCCTCATATCGATATTATCGTCAACGTAGCGCAAGTGTTGCGATGTCTCTTACGCACCTTTAACGCAGTTCGTATTATAATCTTCGTTTCGACTTCGTGTTTCTCTATTTGTGTGTGTATATGTGAGGAAAAGGAGCTGTTAATAAAATATATTCTCAGAGTTAAACAGCGCAAAATATTTTGGTACAACAGTTTATTCTAAGCTCATAGCTACTTTTTTTTAACACCACTCACTATAAGCCCTCAGATAAAACACGATGCGAAGTATAAAATTTATCTGTTTTATACAAATCCAAGTTTTTACACGTGCGTGATAAGTTATCTAAATATGTTTGAAAAGCGTATGCTTATCGCACACACAAGTTTTATTTTCTACAAGTATCTAAGTTCTATTTTCACAAGTAATACAAATTTGTTTCAAAGAGAAAAAGATTTTGACTGACAAACGTTTGTTTCGTTATTTATATGAAGAATATTAAGAGCTTGTACAATTTTGTGTGAAATGATGCAATATTGTGTTATCTTCACAGGTAAGATAAAATTGATTTGCAAACGTGAAAAAAAAAAATGTCTGCGGAATCACCAAGGCGAGGTGTACACAAAGGAGGTCAAATTGTCTCACCTCAGCCTATAGTTGATAGATCAATTATTGAGAGTGTTGCTGGAATCATAAATGATATTGTACCACAGGTAAGATATTAGTAAAAGAACGTTAAATATTTAAGCAATTACTGTATTAAGTTAATGTAGGAAAAGTAACATTAAGTTTTTCTGATCACAATAATCTTCTAATTATTATCAATCTAAAAAATAATAACTTTTTATTATGTTTTCCATTTATTTGCAGGGATACTCTGGAGTATCAAACTCTGATAATAAAGAAACCATATCATGGGCACGATTTGAATATGCAGATATAAACGATCCCACTTTATATCCTGATTACAATGAAGGTTCCAGCACACCACCTTTGTTATTAGTGCTAGGATATACAATCGGTGTTCAGGTGAGTGTGTGAAACTTTTGTAGTTTCGTATTTGAAACTTATTTTTTGTTTTGATACATTCAATATATATATATATATTTTTCTTGCCAAGTTTACGCATCTAGAAATACATCGTAACAACAATTGCCGATATTTTGCAGGTATGGCTTATATCGGCGGCAGGAGAAGCTACAGAAGTCCTATCATGGCGACAAGCCGTGGTCCGTACCCTTCGAATTCTATCGAATCCAAAGACTGACGACGAACACGTCGACGAATTCGAAGCGAAACGGCCAATGGTGGCGATCTGCTCCGAGGTGGATCCGACTCTTCCGGGACCAAAATTCTGCGATGTCACTTTTCTTTCCCTGAAAACTGGCGAGTCAGTTCACAGTGTAGCGTTCAAGAGTCCCGTTTGCGACGTGCTGGCGAACAAGCGATCTGTGGTCGTAACGTTATTAGAAAAAATTGCAGTCTTCAATGCCAGAACGTTGCAAAATACTATAACAATCACTACCTGCTACACAAGCCCTGGCACAAATCCAAATCCTGTTGCTTTGGGAACACGATGGCTCGCTTACAGGTACATTTCGTACGAAATTTTATCCTTTATTCATTATTAATGACATTAATATCTTTTATATTAAGATAACAGGGATCTATTCCTAGTCTTAAATAATCAACTATATTTCGCGTGATGTTCGCAGCGAAAAAAAATTAATACCCTCTAGGAGAAGCAGCGGTGGTTGCGAAGGTGAAGGTGTGCAGAGTTACACGGCAACGGTTTTGTACGCGGCGAAGTCACTGGGCAAAGGTTTACGCGGATTGGGAGAAACCGTAGCTTCGAGTCTAACTGGCAACTCGGTGTCACCGATGCCCGTCAACAACACGGGAAATGACGTGACTCCTGGCGTTGTTACAATATTGGATCTTCAGGTCGCGAGAGACGAGAAGGAACTAGACGACACAAACGCGGAGGCTGTGATTGCTCATTTTACCGCCCATAGTGACCCAATCGTCGCTATGACTTTTGACCTGACCGGCGCGTTACTGATGACGGCGGACAAACGGGGACATGACTTTCACGTGTTCAAGATTCAACCGCATCCCGGCGGTCCGACATTAGCGGCGGTACATCATCTGTACATTTTGCATCGTGGTGATACCACTGCGAAAGTACAGGTATGATTTATTTCGCAATTTAATTAGCATTGTACAACAGTACCGTGAATCAATTCTTTTTTACGCGGTTTTTCTTTTTATACTTGAAAGAATATGTATTCAGACATCAATATTGTGAAGATACTGTATTTCTATCATATCAGGATATGGTGTTCTCAAGCGATGCACGTTGGGCTGCTGTTTCTACCGTGAGAGGTACCACCCATGTCTTTCCCGTCGCGCCTTACGGAGGTCCCGTGGGCGTTAGAACGCATTCTACTCCTCACGTTGTCAACAGGCTGTCTAGATTTCAGAGAAGTGCAGGCCTGACTGACGACGGTACCCGATCCCATTCTCCTGTGTCTCACACGGAGTTACCTCTGTCCACTTATCCCTTTTCGAATCCTAGACTTCCCCCCTACCCTCATCCGACCATACTGCATCCTCTATCGCAGATACGGCAACCGTCCTCTTTAGGCCAACTCAACAGCTCATCCCAACCGAGGTAGAGTATCGATCCTATAAAATATGGAGAACTGCTGGGAAGAAAAAATCAAACTAAAAAGTGAAAATTAAAAGACACCGTGCACTTTGCAGTAGACCGCAACAGAGACAACGGTTACATTCTGACGATAGCGGGACTTTGCCTTTAAAGATCTGCGCCTGTTTCGCTCCTCCTAGAGCTTGGATGTACGCGCAGCGAGAGTCCAGCAGCAAGGTTGTCAAGAGAGCGGTCGATTCATTGTTTATCATGGCTTGTCACGGAAACATGATACAATACGACTTGGAACCTAAACCAGCTGCTGGTACGTGACCAATATTTTATCGCATGTTTTGCAAAAGTTTAGCTTATTTTTTAAATAAAATTTAAAGTTTTGTTTGCTTCGCAGGAGTGCCAAAGGAAAAAGTCTGCGACGATACTATGATCGAATTGGATGTCGAGGCAAAAGGTCAATGGCCACTTTGCAGATCTCCCAATTCCGCAGAACTTTTTGCGCCGTTACCTCTATCCAATCCCTTGCTCAGTGTTTCGTTCACACTAAAAAACAACCAAGAACTCGATACAGCCGAGGATCGTTGGTTGAGTCAAGTTGAGATTGTGACACACGCTGGACCGAACAGGCGATTATGGATGGGGCCCCAATTTGTCTTTAAAACTTACAACGCTCCCAGCGGGTTGGTTTTTCTCAATTCTCTCGATTAAATCTTCTTAATTGTTTTTTGGTTTTTTCTTGTTGAAAGTGAAATTTAACAAAACTTATTTGTTATACGTATTTTTTACATTAGGGTTGCTGTTAATCTGGTCGAAGCCGAGACCGTGGAAGTTGGAATAACCGGTTCGCGTCCGGCAAGATCGAAGCCCGTGAACATGCCCCACGCGGCGTCTAGACCGTTAATGCCAGTCGTCATTGATGGATCTGGAAGTAAGTGCGCCAGTAATTTCAAACATTGCGAATCGCAATGTTGCGCATAAGTGAGAAATCTTTCATTATGAAAACAAAAGAGAATAAAACGTATTATTTCGACTCGCTAGGTAGCTATGAACAATCACCAAGATTCATGGAAGCTTACGGCGATCCTCTGGACGGCGAGAATGTGGCCGTCGGTAGCTGCGAGAGTCAGCTGAGAGAAGATCTCGCGGAAGCTATGCTGGAGATAACCATCGCGTCACATCGTGCCCAAGGTAAGTGCGCAGTCACGCAACGGAGTTTCACGTTTTAGTCGGCGGCACCAAATTTATACGAATGCAGGGTCCAATCTTCGTTTAATAGCAGTAACCACATCGTCTCCCCGAAGCGACTTATAAACTTCGCGCAAGTTTGTATATTTCTGTTTTAGATATCTTTCGTACACATGTGTTTGTACATAATTTTGATTTTGTGCGACCTTTATGTTCTTAGCGATAAATAATTTCTTGTGAATGTAGAATGATGATCGTTCTTTTATTTTCTTTGTTATCTAATTTGCCTGCATTCTCTTATATTATCACATACTGTATACTGTATTCATTTCTCATGTCCGATAACCGCACAGTCATTCACGTGCTGATTACTACTACCCCATCAAACGAATGACATTCTTGACATTGTATATGTATTTGATGATTTTTGTGTATCTCTTGTGTATTGTTTTTTATTATATACACACAAAACAAATATATGTGTTTATATACTTCTTATAAGTATGTTTTATTCATTCGAAGCTCGCAAAGCTTGCAGGGTTATATGTATTATACATACCTATGTGTATATTCGCGTGAAATTTGACTCTCGGCGTGTTTCGACCTGATGTGTTTTTTTTTTGCTGGCAATATTGAGAGAGGAAACGAACAAATGAGATTTTCGAAAAAAAGAGAGAGAGAAAGAAAGACAGAAAGAGAAAAAAAATTTTATACTCGCCGAAATTTGCGAAATCTCAGATCGATAGCAAAAATTATTTTACTCGTAAGCAAATCTTTTCTCTTTCCCAGTAATGTAATGTGTTTCCGGTACATGTAACACACAGAGGATGAGATTGCCTGTGTAGCGTTATATAAGTTTGCGTGGATACAGAACTGGCCAGAGGCAGGTATCTTTCATTATGCCCCCCTTCCGTAACCGTATTACATCCGAACACTAACAAAGCAAAGACATTCTGTATGTTGGCGTCTGCTCTTTATTACGTTTGAAAAGAGAAAACGTTCAGACCGAATTGTGTACCGTCTTTGTACTAACCACAGTAGATCTACCGCAGTTTTGCTCGAGCTTTTAGCTTTGTGTATTATCTTAGAAAGAGGGAATTGTTTTGCAATTTATACAATACAGTACGTGTTTCTCTTCTTAAGTTTTGTCTTGACTCTCGACTCCCGTGTAACTGACACGCGGGACGTTTCGAAATGCGATAGAGACAAAGACCGTTCACTACAGTTTCTTATCGCGCTCACATTTATCTCCTCAATATACGCTCGAGATTTTTGTTTGTCAAGCACCGAGTTTTTCCCAAAGTAGTTGCCAAAAATCTCACTCGCATTTTATACGTAAAACACTTTCTTTGAATCTGGACGATTCTGTGATTGATTTTTCGTTTTTCACTTCGTATAACATAATCCCGAGCGAGCATGCGAGCGAGCTAATTGTCTCTGTGATAAAACAATAAGAGGGAATTTAAGAGAGAAAGAGAGAGAGAGAGTGAAAAAGACACGCGCGAGCAGCGACTCATAATATTGATACCTGCCAACGGCTTTTTCTGTTACTAGGGAGGCGTACAGTAATTGAGAGGGTGGGTCAGCCGGTAACTAAAGTCGTCAACCCTCACACCGGCACCGTGATTACCGTGTCGGCCGACGAGGATGAGGACGCAATTAGTTCCCTACAGGAGTACGACTCCGTCGCGGAGGAGATCCATGCACCTAGAAGCGTGTGTGCCGAGGAGGGACCGGCCTCGCTCGGCGCGGCGGACCTCCCGGATGAACCGGCGAGCCGGACATTGAGCCGCGAGCACACCGAGATCTGCGCGGAGATGCGCTCGGCGAGCGAGCCGGCGATCGACAGCGTACCCGACGAGAGCATACGCGAGCTGCAGGAGCGTCGCGCACTCTGCGCGGAGATGGCGACGACGACCGCGGTGTTGATCGACTACGGGAAAGAGGAAGCTTTTCGCGATGTGCCGACAAGTCTCAGTCTGTGTGCCGAACAAGGTGAGATCCCGAGCAGCCCGATGACGCAGGCGAAAGAGACGTTGTGGTGCACCGGCAAGAACAACAAGTTTGCTAGACGAGAAGAAGATTATCGCAGCGAAGTTCACGAGAGACACCTCGCCAAGGCGAAATACGTCGTCAGCTACGACGACGAGAGCGTCACTCTGATGGAGAACAAAACAATGCAAGTCGAGACGGCGCAGTCGAGCGCGGACGAAAGGTCCAGAAAATCTTTGAAGAAAACCGATCTCGAAAAAACCTCATCAAAGAAATCTTCGTCGGACGATCACGCGCAAAAACGTCCGGTCGAACAACGCACAACGCGTAAACATACGGTCAGAGAGAACAAAGAAATCGAAGACGTGAAGGAGGAGAAAGATATCGATAAGAAGAGAGCCGAAACAAAGACGCATAAAAGTGACAAAGTAAAAAACAAAGAAGAGAAGAATTCTGAAAGAGATCAAATGACGTCCAAGGACGAAGAGGTTAAGAAGGACTATCCTATCAACTTGTCCAAGCCAGAAATGACTACAGAAGTAACTTCGAAGAAAAAGGATTTAAACGAACTTGCGTCGGAAGCGGACAAATCTACTGATGACTGTGACGAGTTACCGCCATTGGATCCTCCACCGATGGACGATTTCAGTTCCATAGAGTATCAAATGGTAGAGCCATGCAACTATGCCGCTTTCACGTCTACTCAATCTGACGACGATATCGAGCACATTCACGCGTCCGAAGTGATGCAGATGCGCGCTAAGAACGACAACAAGCACAAAGATGCGGGTGCAGTCGGCGGCTGCGCCGCGCAATTGGCCTCTCCTTCGGCGCAACGGAAGAGCAGCAAGAGCACAATCTCGGACGACGATCTGGAGTACATACACAGTTCTGATCTCTGTCTAGATTCGATGAATTCGGAACGAGGTGACGCAGATGCGATAAAGCTCGCGAGAAGAATGAGCAACGAAAGTTGCCTGCGCAAGAGGCACAGCAGGCACACCTTATCTTCCGACGACGACTTGGAGCACGTTCAGCACTCCGAGATTCGCGAATTGGAGCAGAGAGAATTCTCAACGCAGGAAGCGGCTACAGAGCAAGGAACCAAGTCCAAGTCGAGCAAGAAACAAAAGGACATTATGGTGATCGAGAAGAGCGAGCCCGCGGAAACCGCGGAGGTTACCGTGATATACAATCCCGTGGAAGAGAATATGCCTAGATCGGATGAGTTCGACAGATGCGGTTCCGCTGATCACGACAAATCGGAAGGCACTCACCCGAGCCCCACGAGAAAGTCCAAGAGTCGCTCGAAAAAGGCGACTTCGTTGTGGTTGTACACAAGCAAGCGGGCTTCTCAGACCACCGACAGCGATATCGTCGAGATCATTGACATCGACGCGTTGCAAAAGGCCGAGATGGACGCCGCCGTGGTGCCGGAGTGCAAGGTTCTGCTCACGGCCACCGAGACCGCTGGAACGCGCGTCAAGAAGTCACGCAAGAGCAAGAAGTCACATGTGGACAGTCAGTCCTCCGCGAACTTCTCACAGGAGAACAGCTCAACGGAACTTCCTTTGCCTCTACTCTGCTCCTCCAAAGTGAAAATGGCGGAACTGCAGGAGGCCGTGCAAGAAGAGAACACGCCCAAGTCGAGCAAAGAGTCGAGAACTCAGGATTTCTCTCCTCTGACGGAGATATCGTGGAGCTCGATCGTGAAGAAAAGTATATCGTCGGATTCGCAAGAAGTTCGCAAGGAAACGGATCTCGAACCGTTGGTGGAGATTGAGGAGAAGCCGGGGATCGGCGAACAAGCGAAAAAGTTGGAGGCGAAATTCGACGACAAAGATGACTCCACGTTTCTGGAATTCGCGACACATAGAACGCACGAACACAAATGCTTCAAGTCCAAGGAAGAGGAAGACAGTGTCTTTGACAACAAGACGACGATGAAGGAGAGCTTTCCCATAGATTTTCCCACGTCCTGTGGAAAATCTCTTCGGAAAGAGAAAGGCAAAAAGGAGAAGGGCAAAAAAGAGAAAGGCAAAAAAGAGAAAGGCGCTAGTGACAAATTGTCTAAATTCCAGCGACACGAGGGGGATTACGATACGGCAGAGGAGGATAATGCCGATGAGACCGCAACAACGACGTTGAAAAAAAATTTTTTCGAAAGTTTTTTTCTAGACCTTCCCGCGTCTTACAGATCTTCCCGTACAGTCGAAAAACGTTCTACTGTCAGAGATCTCAACGTCGCAGGATCAGATAAATCTGTTAAACCATCCAAGTTACGTTGGCACGAAGGAGATTACGATACGGCAGAAGAAGAAAACGTCGACGAGACCACGACGTCGAAGAGAAGTTCTCTCGTAGATCTCCCCGCGCCCGGTAGACCTGCCCGGATAATAAACAAAGAACCTCGCGCGGACAAGAATTTGTTCAACGTAGCGGACGACACAGCGCTAATGAAACCATCCAAATTCCTTTGGTACAAGGACGATACGGCGGAAAAAGACAGTGTCAAGAAGACGAAGGCGAGCACGACGGTGACGACGACGGAGGAGAGTGTCCATGTAGAGAATTACGTCCTTCCTACGCCGATAATAGACGAAGAACCTTGCGCGGGCAAGAAAGTCACGGACGAGAATATAGCGAGCGTCACGGCACGAGTTAAGGCCCGTCAGAACGAGGGGGATAACGAGTTAGCAGAGAACAGACCTCTTCTCGCCACGGAAGTACCGATCGTCGACGAGACACGTCGAGGTAACTTCGCAGCCGAAAGGAGAGAATCGCAAAGAGAATCTTCTTTGCAGCTTCAACCGCAGCAGCAGGTAGAAGAAAGCGGGACCGAACGAAACGATCCAGTTTCCTTGAAGGCGCTGGACGATTTGATTCGCGCCGAGTTTGCGGAGAAGCTGCGAAATGAAGTCGCGGAACATTCGAAGAAGACGCCCGAGGAGACGGCCGTGAAGAAATCGAGCGTCAGATCCAAGCGGAGGAAGCAGCACAGATGAGTAGAGGATTGCTGCATGGACGTGCGTAGGGCCAGCCTTGCCCTCTACATACTCCTGATGCAAGTAACGGGGGTGGATTAGCGTTCGTTTCCAGCAAAAGAAACGATCTAGAACTTATGACTGTGCGCGAACGTTTCAAAAGTTACTTCGCACCGGGTCTTGCGTAATCGGCGTGTGTTTCGCTACAATGATGATAACAACTGTCGAAATTTCGTTGAAACGATCTCATTAGTGATGACGTTTAGACATTTTTCGATATCAAAAACTTGGCACTTGAGATGATTTGAAAAATAATCGTGAGATGATCAAACTGCTGAAGAAAACTATGAATTATATGAATTTTTTTCTTTTTTCTTCAAAATCTTTTTAAGAACGCTTCTGAGTTGATAGCGAGAACACACGCGCGCGCAATGAACACTATATTTTAGCGGGGCAAGGTTGTGTTCCGACACTTATAGGATGTTATCTAGGACGCTTTCGACGTTTGTTCTAAATGGGGTGTAGAACTAACGGGAGAGCTCTTATAGAACAGAATCCTTCACACTTCTGCGACTTGGCACTCGAGCAACCATGTAGCGATTTCAATTCTACTGCCTTAGATCGTAAAAAAGAAGAAAAAAACAACAAAAGTATTAAGTTTGGGTATATATATATATGTATATCGTTGCCCACTATCAGTAATTTAATTGTTCGGTACAAGCAAACTGATGTGACAAACGATCGGCCATTAGGTGTTCATTTGCAGGGCTCATCTTCAAGCTCTGTTCCCTCGAGTGACGATCATCATCATCATCCGGCACGCAATATAGATCAATATATACATATATGTATATATATATATGTGTGTGTGTGTGTATATATATATATTATATGTATGTATATTTCTTTGTTGTAGCGCAAGGTATTCTCATTAAAAGATCTATCAAGCTTTCAAACACATCTTTACTGCCATAGAGATTATGCTTTTTGACCGGGTATACTGTCGGTATACTGCCCTTTGTTTTTTCGCTGAATCGTAGTATTTTATTTGATTAGAATGTGAGTTCTAACTAATAACACAAATCGCGCTTAATTTAATTGTACATATTCTTTGTGCACCTTTGTGCAATATGTAATATATATATATTTATTTATTTTTGAAACACATTTTAGAAGACTCTCTCTATATTTATTGATCGTGTGTGCTAATATTCAGACGAATATTCTTTGACAGTTTGTCGCTAAAAGAAAAAAATAATAATAATAGTACGAATTTGAAAAAAAAAAAACGGATAGTGAATCGTTATTATTTCACGCCTGAATTACACAAACCTAGGCCCATTGTATGCTTCTATCGTCACATTAATAATGCGAGTTCAATTTTATTTTTGTAACTTCTAATTTGTCGTTTGTTTAGCGAATTCTATTTATTTATTTTATTATACACGCAAACATTAGGTACTTTATCTTCAATTTTTTTCTAGAAAACTTCTTTTAGTGTGATATGTCATGAGCTCCCGAAAGAGACAAGAAAGGAAAAACAAAAGGCAAATAAAAGTCAGTATAGACAAATTCGATACCTGGCTATAAAATATAATTATGAGATTGAAACAATCTTATGATTGTATATAATTGTACACAATCTATCTCTTGAATTTGTCTATAGGATTTTTTCTTCGGGCTGACAAATTTTGGTTTTGATTTTTTTGTTGTCTTTTTTTGAGTTTTAAGTAACTATAGAGTTGGACATGACTGAGAAATAAAAAATGGTGCGTCAATTGGAAAAATATCTTAAAAATTTGTTTTTATTTTTTTATTATATGTTTTATGTTTTTTTGTTAGTTTTTTTGAATTGATAAGTATAATTATATTATACTTACGAAAATTATAATTATAAACTTACATAGTACAAATATTGTGTAATTAATATATATATATATTTAATTTACATTAATTAATATATATTTAATTCATATAATTAGAAAAAAAACATAATAACTCATATAAAGCGATTTGATGCAACTATGTGATATGTTGTTATACTTGTCTGCACGTATTTGTTGGTTTTTCAAAATTTTTATTTATTATATCTATGTTTATAGATATGATTGACAAAATTTTCTGCTATTTCAAAACGTTTATTTGTTTTTTTATTTTATATTAATCTCTGATATCTTTAAATTTTTACGTTTTACAATTTTATTTATTCTTTCGCATTTTCGAGTGGCCTACGCAGGCGCGTAATTAGCTTGTGTAAACGTTTTACTTTTAAATGTTAATTCTTGCGAAATAAAAAATGTCAAAGAAAAACAAAAAAAAATTATGTAAAACGTGTTTGATGTTGCCGATGGTAACGCATAAAACATGTGTGTGTCTAGGTGTAACATTGCGTTTTTTGTGTCGTAATTATTAGATAAAAAAAAAATAAACGATATATCGTTCGTGCGAGAATATATTTAAAAGAGAAAAACAGAGAGAACTACTTGTAATATAAAATTCAGTAGCCTCGCGACTCAGCAACTTCCGTCACAAATGTTGTCACAATCGTTTATAATATAAAACTAAAATATTAGGAGGGAAGAAACTCAAACGCGGAGAAGTATGTTCTTGAGACAAATAGTTTTATTGACCCGAAGATCAACCGTAAAACCATTTCGAAAAAAAGAGCAAAGAGTGTGGAGGATGTTTTATTCGCGAAAAAATTGTTTTTACCTGTTCGTCAGTACGAGAAGCAATGTATAGTTCTCTCTCGAAAGAGAAAATCTGCTGATAATAATAAAAAAAAAAAAAATAACCTGCTCTATCTCCGCTACTGTTAGAAATATAATAAACGAGTATACAGAGTGCGATTAATTGAAAAAATACTACAGTCGTCTTGTAGAGTCTCCTGCAAATTAATTGAATTCATCGTCAAGGCGAAGTAAAACATTCACACGACTCACCTTCTCGACTCTTTAAGAAGAAATTCTTTATTAAACTGTGATGTTTCCTCAGCTGATAGTGATCTCGATCTAAATGGCATTAGATATTTTATGAACAGCATATATATTATACATACGGGCTTGTTGCGTCTACTCGTAATTTGATCGAAAGTCTCGTCGCACGTTTGATCTTTGTCGTGATTACTCTTTAACACCGTTACATGCAGGCATGTATCACATAGAAAGAAAAAAAAGAGAGAAAACAAAAAAGAGAAACGATTTATGATTTCCGACAAATTTACTGCGTACAGTGCGTGTCGGGGATATGTGCGTGCGTGTGTATATGAGAAGAGCGTTGACCGTATAATATCGATTGTGAAAAAAAAACAAACAAACAAACAAATTGTATTATAACGCTTTTGAAAACGATACTTCGGTCCTCATATATTGTTCTTATTAGCGATTCATTCGATCATTGCGATATTTACAAGCGTTCAAAAGATGCGTTTTCCGTTCGCATGTGTTTCTGGCCTTACGAGAGAAGAGGAAAACACTTTAGAAGTATTATAAACGTCCAAAAATTGCAAAGCGCACTTTATAAACAATCACACAAGTCGAATTCTCGATTTAATATCCTTTGGCTTTTCTCGGAGGAGAAGTATTATTTTTCATTTTCGGAGCCAATGTTCGTGTGGATATTACCTAATGGTAGTAATAGAAGTTTTTGTTCTATGAATTAATGCGCGCGTGTGCGCATTAATTTATAGAATAATTCTACGTTTATAAAATAATTCTAATTTTACTTTCTTCGTTTCTGTGTGTATATCGAGTTGTATTACAATTTACCTGTGTAGTAGTTACGAGCAACTAACCAGTATTTTCCTTTTAAAAACGCGCGCAGATATATAATTCTTTTTCCATACGACATGGCCGATCCTGTGTATTATTTATCGCGATTTATGGCAAATCGGCATCTCGCAATAACAATCTTCGGGTAATATCAACACAGTTTCGACCTGTGTATACATCGGCAGCTACAATACGTTATACAATATTTTTTATTGAGATTTCTTTTTACAGTGAGACAATCCATTCGAGTTAACGGTAAAAAGAAACGTAATAAAAGCGATATATTATCGGTCTTATAAAACAACATTGAGTAACTAAGTATTGCTATTTGTATAAATTATTTCTAAATTATTACTATTACACAGACGCGTTATAGTTTTTACATACAGACAGTGGCGTAAATGTCTTTATGAAGTTGCATCTTTTAATATTGAGACATTATTGGTGCAGCTTCATATGTGAAGCCAATGATTTATTTATTTAAAGTAAGATTGCCAGTGTAAAAAAAAAACAAGAAAGAATCAGTATAAAAATAACATAATCAATCCGGAAGCCGTGCGCAAGAACGTTTTGCAAGTTTACGGGATTTAATAAGAATATGTAATAATGAGAAAAAAATATATTACATATGATAATATATATCGTTCCTTTTTTATACAATATACATTATCATGAATATATATTATTTATGTTTTATTTTACGGTATGTTTAAGTTTTATAGCGATATCGGCTGGTTTGCACCGACTGCACATTTGGGGTGTCGGTGCAAATTGTGAGTTCGGCTGGTCGAATGGCAGCAGTTCTTTGCTGGTTCCGCGTATTCGTCTGAGCTCAGTAACACCGCATAGGTGCTCAAAGTGGCTCTCACAAATTAGTTGGAGCCAGTTAGTGTAATCAGTACACACACCGATGCGGTGTTGCACACAATTGCACCAACTCTACACAGGTGGCACATCGGTGCAGACCAGCCGAAATCGCTATTAATGTGTATGGCATAAAACTTGAAATATATATTTTTTAAGACCGACAATATTCGAACTTTTCGGCGCTGATGTACACGTCGGTCGTTACGAAAGAGGCAATAATTGTGATTAGATCATCAAAATATGTACCGTGCGATGAATTTGTCTTTGCCGAAATTTGCAAACGCAAATGATAGTCGATAGATGAATATATTTTCGATTTTACTTTCATATTTATTCGTGTAACTTTATAAATAGGTAAAACGCAGAAAAACCATTTTTTCTCCGATGTTGTAAGCTTTAGCTTGTAGAAACGTTTAGTGTGCTTGATGTAAAAACTCTTTTGTCAGTCTCGTTCGTTAGCCCTTTGTCTCGTTCTCGTAAATGATTCTGATGACAGACTGCTTGAGATTTTCACTCGTGATGTCACAATGCCAAAGTTCGATGAACAAAGTTCTGTTTAATTTACTCAGTTTATAGTTACAACAAACTCCGACCGCGGAATTTCGTTCGAGCGTGCACTGGGGAGTGACAACAAAAATAAAAGAAACTGAACGATACAAAATGCGTAAAGAAAATGCAAAAAGATAAATTACACGTCATGGTGATTTCGTAATTCCGATCAATTCGAACAAGATGTTTTGTTGTCAGTGCGGGCGAGAATGACGCTCAGTATTATTTTCTTTAGTGTATCATTGTGCACTTTGTTAGCCGCGTTCTATTAACTCGTAATCGATGAGTGACGAGTGACTGTGCAAACTGCAGAGGAATACATCAATACGAGGACACATACTACATAATTCCCCAACGTCGCGCATACAATACATATCACAGTTTGCGGAAGAGAATGCAAAGTCTTATCGGAAAGATCGCGAAGTTTCGCATAAATACTGGAGATTACAATATGGAAATTTTTATTTGAATAATGTTTATATAAGTCTCAGAATTTACGCGCGCGTGATACGCAGAATAATCTATATAAATTTCCGTCTTTGAGATTCCGTTTTTTTTTTTGTTCCACGGCACTCCTCCCTACAAAGAACATTAACGTAGACACTAAGCGGTGTTTCCATTCTGGAAATAATTGACAAAAGAGTACAACATTGTTATCTACTTTAATTATACACATATACTCCCAGAATAATATTTTTTGGTGTCGATACTCTAAATAAAAAAAAAAAAAAGAATTGGGAGTGTCAATTTTAACTGGCGGGAAAGTTCCTGTGATTCGAAATAGTATCTACTGAAATAAACACCGAATTGAAACACTGTTGGATTTTTTTTTTCGTTGAATTGAGCAACGCTGAAATACACGTAATATATCGTGTATATCTTACAATTTTATCTTGCAATCGAACGAATCATCTACGAGAAGTGAAGAGAAAGGAAGCGAACAGGGCGCGATGCTGTTTTCTTCCACTGTGTAAAATCGTTTGTGGCGGAAACACGCCGGAATGTATTGTAAAATGCACTAACGATATTTACTAACTGTAATTGAGAAATGTACAAAAAAAAAAAAAAAAACAACAAATACCTAAACGAATCATGTTCGACATGCGCGCGAGACGCTTGACTCGCGGAAGAAGCGTCCCCCTCATTACGGGGGCTAAGTAATATAATTTAAGAGAAAAAAAAAGACAAAAACGATAAAACGAAAATAAAAGTATACAGCCATAACGCAATACGTCATGCTATTTTTCTTGAAAAGTTTCTCGTCCTCTTATTAACTTTTTTACATGAAATATATATACGCACATACTTCGTGTAGATTTATGTGTTACTCGCACATCGCACATCTCTGATGTTAAAGTCTTTCGTATTCTCACCCCTTCGATTATAAATTTCATTCTTCAAAGGATTCTTGCTCTCACCATTTATATGTATTAAGTGAATATTGAGACAACTAAAAATCGCAGCACAATTTTCACTTTACTGATGGTGTCGTGTGTGTGTACACGTGAATGTAGATTTGAAGTCAAATACAATAATTTGCTGACACGTAGTCACAGTCGGTCGCGAAAGTATCCTGAGAAACACACGAGATATGTAGAGTTGAAATATGTGTAATCATGTGCAACTTATTTGAGTCATTTTTTTTCCTTTTGTGACTCGTTCAAAATACTTTTGCGAGTTGACTGAGTGTAAAACATCATCGGTCTTAAGGAGAAATTTACTAACGTACATGGATCACAAGATACGATACTCTTAACTCGGAAACTCTTGGTTCTTTTCAATTTTCTCTATTTTAATTCTTTTCGTTTGATTACATGTCTCTTCTCTGTTTCCTTTGAGTGTAAAAAAAAAAAAATTATTCATTTCAATTGCTTCGTCTTTATATTCAAAATTATTCGTTAGTCTTCAACATGCGCCACTAATTGAACACAATGTGTTATTCCAGCTTGACAGCTCTGTCCTTAAGACCAATGACGCGCAAGCTGAGAAAGAGAGACAATCTCATAAGAGTGATGATAAACCATAAGCTTCTTTGGCGCAACCGCTAGTCTTTCTTGCGACGATTTTGAGAGGAACTTTTCCCGGTCGCCGATTCGACGTTTCACCCGTTGTGTTCTTTTTTCCAGGTGGCAGTCAATCGTTGGCCAGTTACGAAGACCTGAGCTCCAGCAGTTTCAGTTCCACCAGCAGGGCATCGGACGCGAGGAGCTCGCCGACCCCCTCGTACGGGGCCGAGACCATGATGGTGTTTCCCAGTGACACTAGTGGCTCCATTTGAGATTATTTGAGATGCGCGGCCATGCTTCCCAAGTGGTTGCGCTGTCTCAGATAAGGAAAGAGCAAAACGGAAGAAGATGAGGAGAAAGAAAAAGTCTTCTCTCTTTCAACGGAGGAGGAAGAAGGAGGGAGATGCCACATTTTATTCTAAAATTCCATCACAACACGCGCACAGAAAACAGAGACACACGAGAGGACAGACAGTGCGCGGAATGAACGTACGATGAAGATTACGAGAAACGTTAAACCCGTTAGTGTTGTCAAGATTGAACGGGAAGAAAAGAAATATAGCTGAGAAGAGAATTTGCAAACGTAATGAGAGCGCGCGAGGATGCGCGCTTTTGCCATGCAACTTTTTTCGAAAACAAAAAATAGAGTGAAAGAGAGAGAGAGAGAGAGAGAGAGAGAGAGAGAGAAAGTCATGCGTGTGTTTTGCCATTATCTTGTTTCCTCTTTATTTCTTTGCCAGCTCCTAGTTCGCTTCACTTGTACGTGCAGTCGCGCGGACCACGAGAGACACACTTTCTTTCGGTACGTGCAAACCTTCTGCGAAAAAGAAAATTCTGTACGACGCCAGAATGGCGTAGGAACGAAAATGATATTTCATCGGTTTTCCTGGCGCATTTCGCAGAAAGAGAGACAGAGAAAGAGAGAGAGAGAAAAAAAGAAAGGCAGAACAAAATGTATTACGTTTCTCGTGTATCTATTTCTATATATATTACACATAAATCTCTCTCTACGCTGTTTTAATACTTAAGAGACTATTTTACGGTAAACGCTGATTATATACATATATTAATCCCTATATTTTTATACTTTTTAGTATATATATATTTCTCTCCGTGGACATCGTACATTTCTCAAGGTGGTCTACGTTCGTGATAACCGCATTTTGTACATCCCTGTCCTGCCCCTCTCCCACCGCCCCTCGTGCAATCCGTCGGACATCATAATATTCGCGATCTATCATTTGTACATCCGGGAGTATTTCCGATTTTTGTGAGCATCGTTTCTCCCCGCCGTACTCATCGACGTACATCGATCATTTCGAAGCAGGCCTTCGAACAATGCGTTTGTTCGACGCATTATACATCGCATCATTTAAAAAAAAAAATAGCTCACCGCAATAAAAAGAGACAACCTTTTTTTCAATTTGATTGGAATTTGGTTGCAAGTGCAATTTGAAAGAAGATTTTTGTTCAGAAGATTTTCGAAATCAATTCGCGCCGTTTTTTGTTCTCTTTTGCCATTAAATTTCAATCGCGATTTAGTGAGTAATCTTCCTGTTGAGTCCGCGTCGAGTCACGAGAACTTATAATCCGGCACGGATTTCTTCGAACACGCGACTTCACCACCCATCTTCATTATCGCAACGTGAGTAATATTCATCAATCGTTGCTCAAATATACCGTGAATTAATCTCCCACATGAGTGCGATATAAATTGATTAAAGTAAATAATGCAATATATATAAATGCATTCTTTGTCACGATTTTGGTAAAACGCATTGTGTCAAGGCGCGGCTTAAAAGTTTCTAACAAAGTTTCTTCGAGAGTTCGTTCCTACTCCATCGCTCGTTCGTAAGCGCGACGATTATCTGTCATGCGATATAATATCTTAGATCGAGCGGAAGTTTAACAACGTGTCAGCAGCGGGTGTGAACGAGATGTGAACGAGATCGGTTTTTTAGCTAATTTAGCGTGTGTGAAGTAACGCGATGTAGCGTGCGCCAGAGTATACCACGAAACTTGGGCAAACAATTCGCATCCATTTGTACACACATGTATGTACATATTGTAATTCTTTGTAGTGAAATTTATACACAAGGATTTCTCGTTCTCGTAAGCATTACACTCGGCTGAGATTTTGGAAAATCTTTTTCTCTGTATTTTTCAAACTCAAACGCTTTTCACAATCTTCAATCGAATTGCATTTTGTTCACTTCTCTCTGGCTTTTCACGCTGTTATTCGGGAAAAGAAAAGTGTTTTGAACAATTTATTTCTCTTCAAGTTGTTGTTTCGCTTATTTCGCGGATGCACGGTGTAATGTTCGCGAGAACAATCCTGTCTGTTTGTCGTATCGATCGACTGTCGTCGATGTCGGCGAACGTATAGCGACAGGAGCTTGACTGTCAAGTGTGTAAACAAGTCAAAAAAGTTACGAAGCAAATTACCACAGACTGTAGACGCAACCGACGGGCCAAAAACCTAAAGTATCTAGACATTGTATCAAACGCAATCAGGGTAGGAAGTCGTAGTGCGACCTTGAGCAACAGATTTCCTAAACAATTTTCTAGAACCGATTTTCGTGGAATGCCTAGTAGCGCTTCTCTTTTCTAAGTGATATATATATGTCTACATATATATACACACATACACAAACACACACATAGACACACATGTACACACACACATAGTGTGTAACGAGATAGCGTAAATAATTAGCGAGTAAACGCGCGCGTGCGCGCGCGCGATCGGTGCCGCTTGGACTCGAAAGAAGCGAAAGATCATTAGCGATTTGTAGATTAATTAGATGATATAGCGATATGTGGAATCTTGATATTATCATCATCGTGTCCGCGTAGAGATAAAACGTATAATTTTTTGTAGCGAGCGCCGCGGCGATTTGTACAAAAGAGAAGAAGCGTGAACAATTGCATGGCAAAGACTTGATCTCACCTCCGTGTCCGGATTCTTTCTTCATCTTCTATCTTCTTCACTTTCTTCCGTATTGATATCCGCGGGTAGTTTCTGACGGGAAGAGTTTTAGAAGCGTGTCAGACGCCGCGTCTGATTTTATCGCGAATTTTTCCGTTCTTGTTAAACGGAGAGAATCGTTTTTCCCTTTCGGAAGGAATTGGCAATCGTTTCGGAGAAATACGTTCGGAGAAATGCACCGAGAAATTTTATAGAGTAGACTTCGATTTCGTACGATACACTTTGATAAAAAAAAAAAAAAAAAAAAAAAAAAAAGTACGCAGATGTATCGTGCCGCATCATCGCAATCGATACGATTGAAAAACGAAAATTTTTTAATCCATAGACGTGTGTGGCTTTCCGATGAAAACTTGCGAAATGATTTCGAATATCTACACTGAGAACAGATATCTTGAAAAAAAAAAAAATGTCTGTTAAAGATTCGAGAAAAAATACGAGAATGAAATTGCAGGAAAGGAAGAAATAGCGATCCCAAGGATCGTCATTTTTTTGTGCGTCCAGAGAGATTAAACGCGCGTAATAATCTCGTTGCCGCTGCAACCGAATCAAATGGATACGCGATGCACGCGTATATTTTTCTACCTCTTACTTTCCGATATAGGGCGACGTTGCGGCGAGAATCGATCGGATATCGTTCGTTCTCTCCTTGGCATTGTCCCTAGACAGGATGACGAGTCCACCAGGCTCCGACGCGCAACGCACGATATAGTCGATAATAATTGTAATAATCGTAACAAAAAATTAATTAACCCACTGGTTAGGGAGTTTTTATCTTTCGAACGCACGCTCTCGAGAGTCGATTAAGAGTGTCCTTGATCCTCCGGTGAACCGGTTCTCTTGTCTACGATTTTTACATGTCGGAGGACGAGACGAGATTTTATATATACCCATTGTAATAAGATGCACAAAAAATAAGAGCTTTAAGACTAAAAAGATAAAAGAAAACAAAAAAAAAAACAAAAGCTGTGCGAAACAAAAAGTGATTTGAATATCACGCTCGAATTTTCTTTTTCTTTGTTTTAAATTTGATACACTCGCGTGTGTTGTGTGTTCGTAGGATGAACTGTTTCTGCTCTCCTAACTCTATCTCCTGAAGTTAAAATGTACAGCTTGCGCGGAGAGCGAGCAAATCTGAATCCGTCTTGCGGGAGAGCGGAGCGTGTTTCGTGAGAAACACACGAATGAACAAAGAAGGAGACGCGTTTTGTTCAATCAAAAAAACGATGTGAGCTGTGTAATCGGGTCTCGAGAGCCGAACGCGCTTATTCAAACTTCTAATTGTCAACGTACAACGCAGACAGCATCCAGCGAGACATATTAGGTGCCTTTAGAATTCCCAATCAGCAGTATGTAGAAGACAGAGAGAGAGAGAGAGAGAGAGAGAGAGAGAGAGAGAGAGAGAGAGAGAGAAAGAGAAAGAGAGAGCGCATGATGCATGTAGATCATTGTACCGACTCGTTCTTAATCTGAGAAACAGCGTGCTGCGAGTAAGTGTCACGGACGCGATATTCGGTATGCCGATTTGTATAATCCGTACATGTGAATATATATGATATATATACAGGGTGTCCCAGAATTGGTTTAACATCTCTCGTAGGCAGGTAGAAGGAATAAAACTGAGTCGAAAAGTCCTATACCATTTTGCTAGATTCGCAATAGTTACTGAAATTTTAATTAACAAAGATCCGCGAATAAGCATGCATCGGGCTGTCTTACGCGCGTAAGACAGCCCAGTGCGCTTCGCGCGCTAACGGTGTTACCCATAGCGACATATGGGAGGAGCTAATATAACAGCATATACTATAACATATACATATTAAAATGTAATTGTGCGAAGCGCGCCGGGCTGTCTTACGCGCGTAAGACAGCCCGATGCATGCTTATTCGCGGATCTTTGTTAATTAAAATCTCAGTAACTATTGCGAATCTAGCAAAATGGTATAGGACTTTTCACCTCAGTTTTATTCCTTCTACCTGCCTACGAGAGATGTTAAACCAATTCTGGGACACCCTGTATATCAGGTGTACGGAATAGGTATTTCGATCTGATGCTCACGACGGATATTGACATTTCTATTTTCATCATTGAATTTTCTCGGAAAGCTCAATCTTCTAGAAATAATCGTGTAACGTTAGTGATAACGCACCGAAGAACTTCATTAAATTTATAAATTGACGATGTCGAGTCGAGTTCTTTGGTCAAAAACTTTAAGCAGAATTTAATCGCAATTTAATTAATGTTGTTGCATAAAGTTATTTAAATAGGGATTTTACTTTATATGTTATATTTCATTGGGCATTCTCTACTCTACTTGGTAAGGAAAAGTTAATCTTTATTAAAGGATATTATAGGACTTTAATTGTTACTGAAAAACGTCACACACAGTTAGCGCTTTATGAGAGACATTACTGTGAAATAGTTTTAACAATTTTGAAAATTAGTAACGAACGATCGCGCGCAGACAATGTCGCAGCGGACTTTTTGCTACGCGAGGATCGATTGAATTCTTCACCGAAGAATTGCAGTGTACGACGGTAGAGAACAATATTTTATGAATAATAATAAAAAGAGAAAAAAAACTACCGAAGTGATTGAGTGGACGAACTTGAGCGAGCGAGCACTGCAAACGCAAAAAAATGCCACCTTTTCCAGAGACTGCAATATTCTCGAAAAATTGTCTTTCGACACATCCGCGGTTGGGATATTAATCGATAATCTGTAGGAAAAGACTTTTCCTATACGTAATCTTCTATTTTTTTTTTTTTAAGTTGAGATATTTCGGAAAATACTTCTTACTCCGAACTTTTTTCTTCAAGTGAAAATAACTATATTCCCGATTTGATAGAAAGAACTTTATCTCACGATATTGTAGAACATTGCTTTTACCGAAAACAGTTTTAACATATTAAAGCAGTAATCGAACTTTTGAGAAATTCGACTCAACCTTTGTACAATCCTTTTCCAAAGATATTGTCTCAACTTTCACACTTCAATGTAAGACAAACGATTTAACGAAGATCCTTATATTCAATCAATTAAAAAGTTCTTGCGAAACTGTTCCCCGTCGAGCCGCACCGACTGAACTGAACAATCTGCATCTTGAATATATACACTTCCATATATATTGTTTTTGTTTTAGTATTTCGATAAAATTTACGTTTAACGGACGAAGAAGAAAGATCGCGAAAAAACATTCCAACACGAGACTATAAACGTCATCGAGAGATTCATCGATCTCGTCGCACGATTCAAATAAATAAGAATAAATTTAAATGAAGAAAGAAAAAACCGTAAATAAATATAGATATATAATTAAATATAAATAAATATATTTAAATGTGTATATACGTACATATATATGGGCATATGTGTGCGTGTATATGGACATAGATGTAGATCGCTGATTGTACTTCTGCCGACGTAGACGCAGAGCACCTTTGTATATCGTGAAAACATTTTTGTCCTCTTGTGCGATGCGTTGTAAAATGTGATTCTCGTCGAGAGAAGGTGATCGTGAGCGAAGTGCTGTGATTGCGAGGCCGATTGGCGCTGATTGTGCGAACCGTCGCGCTGATTAGCGGTGATCGGTGACGATGCGCCGGGACAATGGTCGACGTATAATTCTTTGTAAGCTGCATCCGCGATTTTCAAATCCATCGACAACTCGCGAAAAATCTCCTACGTTCAGACAGATATGGATTTATTTTGCGAATCGAGAAATCCGACGAGTCGAGAGTTTTCAGAATAAAAAGTAAATTGTTTTTTTTTTTTTTTTAAATTTTTTTTTTTTTTTTTTTTTTTTTTTTTTTTTTTTTTTTTTTTTTTTTCTTGTTTCTTTTTATTTTATTTTATCAATCTTCAGGACGAAAATCTTTCGGTATTGTTTTCGAAAATCAAACAATTTCTTGAGGCTTCGATTTTACGCGAACGTTATTGCGGAGAATTGCGAGTCGGAGAGGATTGGGAAATCGCCGCTGCGCGTAGTGACGTGCACGTGTGCATGAAGAGAGAAATGGAGAAGCAGATTGTGATGAGCGAAACTATTTGACGAGGTCTCGCGGTGGCGTCGATGCAACAAAACAAACACCACCAGATTAAGTATCACGACGACAGATTAAGCAAGAAAAATAAAAGACGAGAAAGAAACGAAAAAAGGCGAACATACAGTACATGTACTGTTTCTCACAAAGAGAGGAGAGACAAGATATGTCTCTTATCGAACGCAATGTCGCCAGTGATATCGGAGGTGTTCGGTGTAACGGTTGTGTCCAATATCGTATTTGCGTCGAAGAACTCGAGGAAATTAATTTTACAGCGAAGACGAAATGAAGAGAGAGAAAGAGAGAGAGAGAGAGAGAGAGAGAAGTGCTCGACTCGGAGATTAATTTTCTTGAGCTTTTTTTTGAGAGGAGATTGCGTTTCGAGACATTTTTTCTTCGTTACGGGCGCGTTTGAGATGCGCGTTTTTTCGACGCAGAGAAAAAAGAAGTCGGGATATCGATTCCGGGAATGAACTTGATGAGAGATGTTCGCATGTGTATGACACCGCGTCACTTCGGCCTACGTATATAGCGGTTTTTTCATATATTTTACTATATTACACGTATTTTGTCAGGGCTGAGAAAACACAGCTGCTAACTAAACACAAAAAAAAGAACTATGTATATCTTATACATATTATATATATATACAAGATACATGAATAGCGTGTAAGCGTAACACTTTGTGTGTCACATGTATACAACCAGCCCCCGTGATTGACACGCACAGGGCTCATAGTAAAAAGGTTCTTAAAAGAAACAAAAAAATAAATAAATAAATAAACAAATAAACGCGGAGCCGGTGCTCCGGAATTCCGTTGAATGCCGGAGAATTCTCCGTCGAGAAGAATCCATTCCGGGATTCCGACGCCGCTCTCCCTTATCTGTGAACGATGTTTTGTAATCGCGATGTGTGGGCGCGGACGAATTTCTTTGAAAACAAATAAAAGATTTTTAACGACTGCAACGAGGAGAAGAGTCTCGCAGTGTGTCTGTTATTTATGTCTTTATATCGTATGATTTTTTTGTTCTTCCCCATCCTTCTTACATTGTAATCAGTCTTTGTATAAATTTTCTTCCCGCCATCGTCTACTTGATAAATTTTTGACGTACACATTTTGCACATTCGCAAAGATTGTCGTTTCCTATCCTACATACATTTACAACATTTTACTACGAATCAAGTAATTAAGTAGTAAAAAGTATGCACGTACCTGACAATGGTCGTCGTTACGCACTTCGCTGTTCAATTCGGCGAGAAAGTAGCTCTTGGAAGACACGCGAAAACGTGATTTCTTCTTTACTTACGAGAGAAACACTTGCGCACACATCGGAAATTTGTCGATGAATCTCCCGACGACAACGATCGCGGGAAAGACGAAACAATCGAGCGCTCTTTCTCCGTGACTCACTTTGCGTTCGTAAGAATCGAAGAACGATTCTCGAAATATCGATGCGAGCGAGTTTCGCGACAAAGATCGAATTCGAGACTTCAAGAATGCTCTCGAGATGTGGGTAGTAATTTTACATTTCTTTTTTTTTAACAAATTATTTTCACAATAATGTCAAAACATTATAATAAAATATCGAAATACGATTAGAAAGTTTTTAAGGATTTTTATTGAAAATAAATTTATACACGCGGGCGCGAAACACATTCGAGACGCAAACACACGCAGAAACGAGATGCAAGAAATGTACATGTTCACTCAAGTGAATTGGCAGAAGAAAAGATTTGCTAATCATTTCACAGTATCATGAATATAACAAATTAACGTCTGCTTCTGTAAAAAAAAATTTTACTTTGAAGTTCGAGTCACTCGAACAGGTGTGGATCAACGAAAAATGGAATAAATGTACTGACTTCCGCAAAAATCAATTTAGC